TTTTCTATACGTTGTAATATAGTAGGATGAGTAAAATACCAAACAGAAAATAACCAATCATTCACTGGAAAAATAACATGTCTTGTTGAATTTTAATCAAAGATGTTTTTAAAGCAATTTCGTATCCTTCGGCCTTCACAAATTGATCTGCTTCGAACTCCATTCGCCTGGAACGCATATTAAACAAAAATTGTATCAGCGCATTTTTGGCGCCATCACCAATTCCATAATAGCGACATACCCCACCATTATAGGTCTTCGTCCTGGAGGAAATCCTACAGCAATATATAAAGGCCCATGACGAAACATAGCAGCAAATACACAAACTTGGCATAAAACTGCAAGTTGAGGAAGTAATATATTACCGCTACTATGATTTAGTTTCCAATGTCCAAGCTCGTGACAAACCATTGCTAGTAATTCTTCATCTGTACAACCAACGCCCTCTGGTGCATTCCTTTTAGTATTGTACAAAACGATTTTATTGTACTCCCATACTCCTGTTAGGAGAGCTCTGCCGTGACCGGTGCTTACGCCATCACCTTTTTCTATATAAACTTCAACTAGCGGAAAGTCATATTTTGCTGCCATTTGTTCTATAGAATTACGTAGATCAGATGGAGGAAGGGGCTTGTAAGGATCGAGCATTGGATCGATATATGATGGAGACACTATAGATATGAACAATGTTGTCGATCCAATTAACAGCCACAGCCAAATAAATACATATGAACCCTCCATTTGAATTATATACAGTGCAGTGGAACACACCGGTAAAAATATAAATTGATTTATTAGAAACGAACGCAACTGATCCCATATGTAAGACGGTAAAGGCCTTTCGTTGAAGTCATGATCTCGATCCAATAACAACGCTTTGTAATATAGCAATGGACATCCAAGAATGCTTAAAATCAAATCGTTGAGGAAAATGAAGAAAAGATTTACAAATATTGAATCATCTGATTTGGTTGGTGGTGTTTTGTAATTATTTCAGATATCTCAAATAGTCCAGCCATCCATCCAAATTGTATAATTGCAGTCCACAAGGCGCTAGTATACATATCCTTAGCAACCAAGTATACCGCACGTCTGATACTCTGTTGACGCATTATTTCATAAATGTCGTTGTCAAGAACTGCTGCAAATGGTGCAGGAATTTCTACAGCTGTTCGGTACGTGCGCATTTGCCTCATCATTAAATAAATTCGAAACAGTGCACGAAACCATATGAAGGCAATAACATAACGATAAATTAGTCTGTCATTAACAATATCCAAATTACAATAGTGCTGTTTTTGAGAAGACATCGTTACTGCGCCGAAAAAATAGGATCAACTTATACAATAAATTTTGAATTTTTTTAATTTATACACATATAATTTTGACATTTTGAATAAATATTAGACAATCAGGATAGCTTCGACACTAAAATTTACTTCAATGTCAATCTCGATTTCAAATACGTTACATGTAATATAATGTAGTTACACATACACACACACACACATACATACATATATATATATATATATATATATATATATATATATATATATATTATGATATAGCACCTCAGTAGCGTTCAACATTTCACTACAATCAAGAAAATCCATACACACTTCAATAAGATCCATATACATTTGTCTAAATATTATAATAAATACTTACGATTTCATGGACAGTTAAAAATGATAGTCAACTTTCGACGTAAGCTTTCAAATTATTCTTATTAATGTTCGTGATCATTTAATTACGTTTTTTGCTTATAAATATATTTTTCGACAGAATTAGTTAATTTTTATTTATAAAAATGCTGCTACATACAACTAACGCTTGAAATAGTGCACAATAGAATTCTATTAAATCTTAAGAAACAGTAACACAACTGCAAACAGTCATAACACTCTATATAACGAGATTATTGAATATAATTGCAAAAATTGTTATAGACAAGCAACAACAACACTATGTATAACGAGACTATTGGATATAATTGCAAAAAATGTGTCCGCATAACTATGTTTTGTTAATTACATAATATTAACGCGTAGCGATTTTTGTTTTTGTATTTCGTACAGCCAGCACAAGACGTCTTTGAGTATTTATTAATTTGAATTATTTCTGCATAGAAACAATGATCAATTAATAACTTTCTAGTGTTCATTATACTAACCATTATACTCATTCATTATACTCTTCTTTTATCTATAATACTAATAATAGAGCATGTTACTATGTTACATAATGTCTAACTAATAATAAATAATAAATGATAGCGACTTTGAATAATAAGAGCGAGAGCAACGGCATTGACACCTAGACAATATTAGAATACAATATTTCATATAGTTCTTAACCGAAATTCTAACCGAACTAGATCAGCTGATCGGTTCTTGCTCAGGAAACACGTACGAGTAAAACCAAAAACCAAAAACTCTACGCGAATTTGTTGAGCGGACGAGAGCGGACGAGCCACGAACTCATTCGTCAGAGCATGCAGCGCCACATGCGAGGTGAGTGACATTTGAAATTACAAGACCAGAAGACGAATTTTGGCCGACTTTCGAAGACACATAAAAACAGTACATTTTCCAATCGGCTGCATATGTTTCACTAAATATGGCCATTCCTGCTGGGAATAATGTACACGACATATATTATGATAATTCTGAATGGAAACCAATAAGTTTAACTCTTGTGGAATATCCCAAAGTTAGATATTTCTGAAATAACCTCAAATTATTTAACTAATCTATCATAAATTTACAGAAGATCTGTTTGGACAAATTCTAGCATGGCTAAGTTTAGCACCACTTGCAATTGGAGCCGGTTTTGTATCTTTAATATTGTTTAGAAGAGATTTACATACAGTTAGTAACAGTGTATGAACCAATTGTAGGTCACTGAAAGGTTTTTAATTTGTATTATTTTGCAGATAACGTTCTTTATAGGGACATTATGCAATGAGTTTTTAAACATGACATTAAAAATGTGGATACAACAACCTCGACCAGTTGTACGAAAAGGTTTCTATTCTGAATATGGCATGCCTTCCAGTCATGCACAATTTATGTGCTTCTTTTCTACTTATTATTGCTATTTGTGTTAATTAGGTAAGGAAATTGCCCATAATATGCATCAGAGGTTATTACACATTTTACAGTATTTTATAAATTCTAGGTTTCATGTTAGCTCAAACTCTGCTCTAGAAAGATGTTATCGAGTAGCAATAGTAGGTTTTTGTTGGCTTGTGACATTTTTTGTTTGCATAGGCAGAGTTTACTTATTATACCATACAATATCCCAAGTCCTTTGGGGTGCTCTAGGAGGAATTCTTTTTGGTTTATATTGGTTCAGCTTTACACATATTGTGTTGGGCCCACTGTTTCCTCACATCGTGTCCTGGTTAGTATTAAATTAGTCCACATTGCTTAAAATTGGAATTTATATGAGGGGTTTGAAACGACTTTGAGAGCAGTTATGCTTCAGTTAAAGGAAAAAGTTGAAGTAATTTAAATAAAAACACTTCTCAATTAGAGCAAGAAAAAAGCATTACACTAATTCAATAGTTTGGCCTCCAAAGCATAGTGTTTAAATATTTGTGTAAGCATCAAGTATTTTACTTTTAATGTTACACAGTGGAATTCTCAGTCTAATTACTACTAATTTACATGACTAACTATCTTAAATTTTGTTGTAGATTTTTCAAGATAAGAAGTCAATTTAACATAATATGCTTTACGATGTATTTGAATGTAACGAATATGTAACTGTATTAGTCATAAAGATTATTCTTTGAAGCTACTTTGATAATTTATTTTAGGAAAATCTCAGAGATTCTTTTACTTCGTGATACTACTCTGATACCTAATGTGTTATGGTTTGAATACACAGTTACAAGACAAGAGGCAAGATCTCGAGCTAGGAAATTAAATGGAAAGATTCGCTGACAATGACCAATACGGGACTGTTTCATTTTATAACATTCCTGATGGCAAATACAGATGTTAATTTATTTGTTTTAAATAAGTACATAGAACTTCTCTAATAGTGAGATATGACGAAGTAGTGACACTTGAAAATTAGTCTAAGGAGATGGTTTTTGTGCAGGATAAACTTAGTTATTATAGTGTGTTACGTGAAACGAGTGAAAGTAAGCTTGAACAATATTAGTAAAAAATCTTCGTATATTCTCAAATTATGGGGTCCATAACAAAGCCTTTATGAAGGATGCAAGTATCTCCATAGGTTTTGAGGAAATATGTTAATCAAAAACTTTACAAGGTTAATCAAAATTACTTGAGAAAAGCAGAAGCATAAAATATAAGTCTTGTTTATATCTCAGCATTAATCTTGATAACAACTGTTCATATCTCTGAAACATAAAATTACTTAAGCATAATTCTATCATAAATAATAACTGTTCACTTTGCATGCATAGTATGTATAGCATTAAGGAATAATCTACCCGTTAAAATTAAAATTTCATTAGTCTTGAATCTTTTGAGCATCTGTTTCAGATTCAGATCTGAAATAATACTGCCAAAATAAATACTGACACAAGTTGCATTTTTGTTTCCTGTTTGCTACTTAAACATTAGAGAAAATTGTATATATTGAATGCTTTTATAGTGAGTTACGGATAATGAACTGTAGATTCATATTTTATGGAAACAAATACAGCAGCTAATTAGGGTTTTGCAGCTTTGTACATAGTTTTTTTATAAATCATATAATAAAAACGTACCATTTTTATTGAAGTATATTTCATTTTCTATTTACAATTCTTTCTTCATCAAAAATTCTTAAGCATCATTTTTTAATGCACATTTGTGTTACTTTGAACAAAAATGATCAAATATCACAATAATTGTGCATATGTAAGTATTTTAATCTTGATCTTCATAAAATAGCTTTAGATTAAATTACTCTTCCTTTTCTAAAAGTGAAAAAAAAATAATTATGTCCTCAGCTCACCTCATTTCATTAATAATATATAAATTAAATGAGAACATCTTATCTAATCACATTATAATTTTAAGCAATATAAATGTTTAGAACTGTGCTTCAAGTATTCAGCATTTGTTTTAAGGATCGTTATGCAACTAGACGTGTGTGGCATATTTTGGCTTTAGGTAAGATGCACAATTTTACTGATAGGTAACTAATTGGCTTAATCAATAACAAATCAACATATAAGTGACTTATAAGTAAAGTGAGTTGCATTATAATATTAGAAACTAAATTACAAATTCTACCAAACATTATTGAATTTTTATAATTAAACCAATAAACTAATCTACCCATACGCAAAGTTCCAACAACTAATCAAGATGATTTGCACCTGATATCTTTCGAACTTTTTCTTTATTATCAAAACATGGAGGATTTTTTATTTCATATATCAACTAACCGTAATGAGACGGCTAGACCGATCGTCGCAAAAAGCAGATCAAAGATAGTCCATATCGTGTTTTATCAAATCAAAACATAAACTTCTTCAAGAAGTTAATTATTATTGGTGCACAAGAGAAATTCACAATTAGTGCGTCTTCATTGAAAATTAAATAGAATAAATTAAATAAAGCCATCCTAAATATAAATGAAAATAAAGACAATGCAATTAATATTTAAGCAAAGAGCCCAAAAAAAAGATTTTAATAATAAAGGGCATGGGCATGTTTCCATGCCCCACCCTGGTATTTACACAATTTATATGTCATTTTATAGGTTTTTTCAAAAAAAAAAAAAAAAAAATGTATACCAATTTTGAACCCATAGCACATCATTTGGCCGAGATATCATTGAAAATATGTGAATGTGGCCCCATTTTTTACTTTTAGATGGTATTATAAAAAATATCGGCAAACAACTAACGTGGTTCTATTCACAATAGTCTGTTTAATATTATTTATAACACAAATATTGTTGAATAGTTATTTGTTAATGCATGAAAAAGTAAAAATAAATTCTCGTTTCGTATATTCTGAAAATATATCCGGAAAATCGGAGCCAGTCTGTGCGTTTTGTGTACTAGAATACTCATGCTTTTGCAGAGAATATTATATATAATCGAGCATATAAATAATTTAAACCATGATACAGATTTTTCAACCCAAAAACTTTACATTTTTAAGAGAATGTAATTAAAAGAAGATTCGCTTAAGGGTTGTTTTTGCACTTGCATAACGATAGGGTCATAAACAAACGATTCCACAACACGGCCCTGAACGAATCAAACACGTGGTTCCTAAATAGCGTGTCAAAATTTCTTTAAAAAAAATGACAAGATCCCATCGCTTTTTAAATTTCTCGTATCTTTTTACCCGCAAACTTTTAAGCCCCGCTTTCCCCTAATTTGTTTTCGACTATATATTCATTTTTCGCCAGAAACGAAATTATAAAATATTTTTCAACCGAAAAACAATAAGATTGTAATTCGAAAGTGATAAATGAGTACAAGTCTTTGAGGTCCTCGACGTGGAAAGCGCGACTCGCGCTCTAAAATATTGAATTTTTCTATGCAACGAAGTCTCCAACAAACTGTAAAAAGAATTAGGTAGCTGAGAAAGAAAAAAAAAATATGTTTTTTTTTTCAATCGATTCAATTTGGGTTACAACTGGAGATAATTAATTTACCGCAGATGATGTTCATAGAAGTTGAGCAAAAATCCACATTTTAATCGTAAATATTTACGTAAAAAAAAAAAATTCTCAGCAAAATCCTGTAATACGTGTCAAATGATTTTATGTATAATATCTGAAAAAAAAATATTTCAGGCAATTCTAAAATGTGACTTTATTTATTAGTCTATTTTTAGTTTATTTAGTTTATTTTTCCGAAAATCCGTACGATTTGTAAAAGAATGACCCATTCCCCACTACATTATTGCTTACACCTTTGCCAAAGTAAAGGTTCAGCTGGTCCTTTTTATCGCACTCATGTGCTGCTTATCTTCTGATAACAAAGTCATAAGAATAAAGGTGATGGCTGGTTATACATTTTTTACCCTCTACTATCAAATATTTTTGTTAAAAAAAAACTAATTTTATTTGGTTATGAGATATCCGTGGTGGGCTCCCCTGCCCATAAACATACAAATGTGATTTTTTAATATAAGTAATCAGTAATTTTTGATTGATTTCTTTACATAAATTTATTGTAAAAACAGTCCCTGGTGCTATTGTGTATAAAACACATAGCAATTGCTTTTGTAGACTTGGCCACATCATGTAAAATCATGTCGGTCATTATAACTGGACATATTTTTTTGCAAAAATGGGTCATTATAAGCGACATGCCAATGTAAGCGATGTCAATATATCCGACTAAATACAATAATCCGTAAGAAATTTTATATGGTCATGATAAGCGGTTGTCAATATATCCGGCGTCATACTAATCGGTTTCTACTGTATATATATATATATATATATATATATATATATATATATATATTCTCTGCGAAAACAAACTTACATGACTTACTCTAGTACATAAAGCACATGTAATAGCCCTGGTTTTTTCAACTTTTTTATACAAAGTTCCACCTAAATTTAAATAAAATTCTGTATAATAAAAGAAAAATGTATAGATTTTCAAATGACGCTAATTTAAAAGTAGTCCAAAGAGCCGCACTGGTAAAAAATACGAAACAAAAATTCATTCATGCATTAACAAATAATTATTTAACAATAATTAAACACATTAGTTGTTCGATATCTTTTATATTTCTGACAAAAAGTGAGTTTGAAAAAAGGGGTCATTCTCACATATTTTCAATGATATCTCGAGCAAATAATAATCTATGAACTTCTAAATTGGTATATCAATTTTTTTCAAAAAGACCTATAAAATGACATATAAATTTAAATACCGATGTGAGGCCGTAATGTATAATAATACATTATAACAATTGAAATTAAATAAATAATTTATAAAAGCATTTACTTACTTTTTAGATGACTTCTTATTTCCTCTATTTCGAGCACTAGACTTCTTTCGAGCTTCCTTTTCTGACTCATATTCATCATCATCATATGAAGCCCCATTACCAGAATAACTAGAATTCAAATTGGGCCCTTTTCTCTGAGATATTCTACTACTCTTTCGAGGGCCTTCAATTCCTGTAATAAATACAGTTTAAATGTATTGTAATGCAGAACTATATCTCATGTACAAACCCATGCAAGCCTGCAAATGTTTTGTATATTTAGCAGAACAAACATTTTTCTTGCAAATGGAGTTTGGGCAAATGAAGTACTGATCATCTTTAACGACACTTTGACCAAATATGTCTAAACCAGGCTCATTGATAACACTTGATTCGCTTTCATTAACAGGAATGTTCGCAATGTTGTCACATTTATTTGTTTTGAGACCATAGTGGAATTCAAATATCACATCTAATAATGCTTCTTGCATTAAACTGTCGAAAACAGAGTAAGTGACATGTTCCAATTCATTTGAACGCCGCATCAATTCTAGAAAGCCGTCTGTGAGTTCATAAATGTTTAACTCCTTATAATTTGGCATATTGAACATAATATGCTATTAGATATCTGCATTTCCTCTTTCCACTTTGCAGTGCTAGTAATAATATTGCTTATTTCCCAATGTCAAAAATGTTATATTGTAAGAAGTGAATAACCTATGAATCAATCAATCCAATACCACAAAACAAGTGAATTTGTCAAAAGCGCCGTATGGCGTAATGGCGTATGACAGGTTGACAGAGCAGCCTGTCCAACCTACAAAAGCAAAAGCAAGTCCTTAGATTGAATATGTTATATTCATATTCATTGAACTATATTCATATAATCATTGGTCTTATGCTTATTTATATGCCCTTATGCTTATTTATCTATGATTGGTCCTTATGATATACAGTAAACCCTCGCTTTACGCGGCAAGTGCGTACCGTGCAGTATAGGAACCGTGCTATAAGAAACTCGTATTTAACATACAATTCAGGCTAATTCGTAGTGCGTTATATGGAACCTTACATAGTGCAGTATGGGAACCGTGTTATGAGAGACTCAGAGTTGGTACAAATCGCACCATTTTTATCGCGTTGTATGGAGACCAAGAAATACAACTTGAAGTAGGAGAAATACGGACGAAATGACGTAAATGACGTGACGAAATTGACACCTTATTCAAAAATTGGCGCGACGCAGTAATTAGCTCAAACGTGTTCTTAGGCGGCTATTATACAATCAGGCATGTCTAAAAGATAAAAGTCGATAACAAAATTTACAACAATACCCTTTTGCACAACGAACTTATGGGCTGTTGACGAAATACCGTGTAATAAGAAATCCGTGTAGTCGGAGGGATGTCGGATTTTTAGCTCCGTGTAGTATGGGAACCGTGTACCCAGAGTGCCGTGTAAAGCGAGGGCCTACTGTATTTTATTGGTCTATTATAATATTATGTTATATACATATAATGATGGTCGTTTTTTATTTTCAAATTTGCCTCAAACATAGTTCGGTTATCGGATTGTGGTTTGCAAATAAAAAAAATTAGATTATAGTTAACATCAAGGTTTTTATGAAACGATAAAAATTGAACTCTTGAAACCATCACGACCAAAATCATTAATTACATAAATCAAAAGGCAATACATAATTGGAAAGGTGATGAATAAAAGTATTGAGGAAAAATCTGAGAAAAAAAGTAATGAAAGTTCAAATGTTCATTTTCATTTCAAAATTTCAACTATTAAGAGCTTATATGACATTGCGGTTTACTACTTACATTGTGGTAGCTTTCTTTGACCTTTACCTGGTGCTTTACTTTTCATTTACTCTACCTCCACCCTTGTTACTTTACCTTTACCTTACTCCTTTACTTGATGCTTTACCTTTATTTTACCTCTACCTTCACCTGTCCTTTACCTTTACCTTTACTCTACCTCTACCTTTACATTTACCTTTATTCAACCTCTACCTTTACTCTACCTCTATTTAAAGGTTGAATTAAAAGTTTTTGAGATATTGGTAGTGGACCTTACCCACAAAGTTTTTAACCCCACTCTTTTTTAATATATTTTTTTCGACTATATATTCTTTTTTTGCCAGAAACGAAATTATAAAAAAATTTTCAACTGAAAAACAATAAGATTGTCATTCAAAAGTGATAAATGAGTGTCCCTTAACATGGACATTTTCGAATTTCCTTGTTCCCAGGGGCTCAAATGGTTCCAAATTGATAAAAAACAATTCTCTGACTAATATTAACTTTTAGATAATGGGCAATTCAATCAAACTTTGTATGGAAATAACATGGAAAAATTTTGAAAATTAAAAAAAAAATTTTTTTAGGTATAGCTTAGCAACAAAATGAATTAAAAGTGAAAATTCGTGTCATTTTTTATTGAAAATTCGACGCTCTGAAATTTTTTTAAAACCTTTCTCATGCTATTTCTATACAAAACTTTGATTTGTGCTCTATCTAAAAAACAATATTAAGAGCTAAAACTTTCAGAGAATTGTTTTTTATCAATTTGGAACCATTTGAGCCCCTGGAAGCAAGGAAATTCCAAAATGTCCATGTTAAGGGTACCCTTATGGGTACAAGTCTTTGAGGTACCCAACGTAAAAAGCGCGATTTGCGCTCGAAAATATTTAATATATTTTGATGTAACAATGTCTCCAACATATTGTGGAAAGAATTTTGTACCAGAGAAAAAAAGAAAAAAACATGTTTTTTTTCAATCGATTCAAGTTGGGGGAAGGGTTAAAAAAACCTTTATAAATATTTAAGGGTTGTTATAGTTGAAAAAATTGCAAAAATATTTTTTTTAAATCATTACAAAATTTCACTTCAATATAATAAGTGTAATGAAAAAATAATAATGCTGATCCGATCAGCACAACTAGAGATAGTTAATTTACCGCAGAGGATGTTCAATAATCCATATTTGAATCGTAAAAAAAAAAATTCAGCAGAATCCTGAAATATGTGCCAAATGATTTTATGTATAATATCTGTAAAAAAAATTTCAGATTCAAAATGTGACATAGAATTGACACAAGAATGACCCATAATTTGACTTCAGTTATAAAAGAACAAACTTCTTGTTTTATTTATAGATTATTGCAATTACCCAAAAGTTATCTTATCAATTATGCTTATCAATTTATGAATAATATCTTTAAGAATATAATATTTTTTTTACTTATATCTAGATAACAAAACTGTTTTCATCACATATACAAAATATAATACCATATATAAATAAGTAGATCAATTTAAATTCTATATTACAATAATTGAAATAATTGATGTTAATGCACCAGTGACATCAGAAAGAATACGTTATTGCATTCACCATTACTTATATCTAGGTAACAAATTGTTTTCATTACATATACAAAATATAATACCATATATAAATAAGTAGATTAATTTAAATTCTATATTACAATAATTGAAATAATTAATTTTAATGCAACAGTGACATCAGAAATAATACGTTATTGCATTCAACATTACTTATATCTAGGTAACAAATTGTTTTCATTACATATACAAAATATAATACCATATATAAATAAGTAGATTAATTTAAATTCTATATTACAATAATTGAAATAATTAATTTTAATGCAACAGTGACATCAGAAATAATACGTTATTGCATTCACCACAGATTTTGCTTTGCAAATACTTTGATACTTTTCAAAGGCCTTTGAAAAATATCACCATGCACACATGCTTAGATATTTATATATACTATTCTATATTAATTTTAACGAACTTAGGTCTAGATTATAAAAATATTTGTTCATGATTAGTGATTAATGTATCTATGACCCTGTTCTGTTCAAAGCAGTGTATAGCTAAGTCAAAACACACCGCAGACGGACTTCTAGGCGCATTGTTCGGCTGATCTAAAATTATTTTTATTTATTAGATGCGTCATTATGAACAAAACTAATTACATAAACTTTACTTTCGCCCATGAAAACTCTATATAATGAAACTGATTAATATAAGAATGCGATCACATTTTAGGATACAAATTTTCGTCGACGATTTCGGGAACACGGTTCAACCGATCTCGATTATTCAAAGAACATTCGATTGCTGTTGATAAGAAGACGTGCTGATTAGTTTTTGACATAAGCAGGTCTAGCCGTTTCGAAGATAAGGGGCAAAAAGTGCGACAAACGGTAACTCAGTTTTTAAGAGAACGGAGCGTCCGATTTTAATAATTCAAAAAACATTTTACTTGTATTGAAAAGATGAAGAATTGGGGGTTCCTATGGGTTCTGTACTAATGTTCATCCGTTAGACGGCGACGCGGCGCTTCGATATTTTGTCTCTATGCAGTTAAAGAAGTACGATTGCTTTGAAAAAAAGAATTTCCAAAATATTTCAAAATAAAGAAAACATTTTTTATCAAAAAGTCTTTATTTTTTAAAAAAGAGTATATTCTTGTCAAATATGTATAGTTTCTCAAAAATCTATTTCTTTTTTTCAGAGTAAATTTATTTCAAAAATGTTAATATTTAAAAAAAATTTTTTTTTTTTTGGTACGAGAAGTTCCAGCAATTTGCCTTAAGGCACGACGCCATGCGCCATACTAGTTTTTTAGAATGTTTGTTAAGACTAAGAACCTTATCATCATGCAAAGTTTCATAAAAATCGCCAAAATTTCGCCATCAACTAATTACGAAGAACCGACCTAGTTGATCTTTACCAAGAACTAATCAGCACGATTCCAAACTGATATTTTTAACAGTTTTTAAATTATAAAAATTGGCTCAGGATTTTTAGCGAAACATGAAAGAAACATTTTACGCTTATCTGCTCGGCGAATCGTATCGAAAACTAATCAACATAGTCCTTATCTAGTTTCAAAAAATGGTTTTTAAACTTTTGAAATCGAGAAAGCATGAATGAAATGTTATATTTTGGATCACATACGCACACATACTTGTTTAAATTTTAGTGTGAAACGATTCAGACTGACTTGAAACGTCGAGAAAAATAAAATAAGCATATAGAATTTTCTGGCGCAAACATGAACCTCTCATTCGGGGTGTTAAAAGAAGTGATATAATTATAAATATTAAATAATTGAATATATCATTTTATTACCATCTGCAACACTTGCCGGTGGTATCCACATAAGTGAGGGTCCCCAGACAATAGACAAATTGTTCACATGCATCCGGTTGGCTTGGCTACATTCCGTAACGCGTATCAAGTGCGCCACTAAATGTTGTAACGTATCTCGATTGCAAATTGGCAGGCAATGCACTAGATCACGTAGTCGCAATACTCGTTCATTATCATCTGGTATAGCTAGAATAATTTATATGATTAGATCAATTATTTACACATATGGAAATCGTAGTCATTTCACCACTATAATAATTACTCATAAGGCCCTTTATTTTATGAATCCAAATAAAACATGCTGCATTACATTTAATATTTTGTTCGATAAAGGTAAATACATACCGTTGGCTTCTAAGAATGAGTGGAACGCATTAAAAGGAATTAAAGGTTCTTTCAATTCTCTGAAAAATAATTTTAAGGATCCTGCTATAACGTGAGGATCTTCCTCTTCGCGTATTGCGTCTAATATTCCTTGATTCACCTATAAAACAAAACGATGATTTTCATTCAATTACGATCGTATGATGATGCTTAACTTACATAAGTTAATTATTTATTCATTAAAAATTAAATCATTTATAAAATTCAAGCTTTGTTTAGTCCTATACGTTAAACTATTTTTGTGTTATTATATTCATATAAATTTTATCTCGTTTAATCATATATATATATATATATATATATATATATATATAATATAAGTATAATAACTAAATGGTAGTCTGCCCAAAGACAGGTGTATGGTACGAAAGCCACCACAAATCGATGATTTCCATTCCCTTTCTCGTCTATCATTCCTATTACCACAATCCCCCCCTATTTTGTATACATTTTTTTATGTATTTTCCTTTCCGAACTTCTGCTTCCATGCTTCCTCTGCCCTCTGCTTTCAGTTCCCTGTATTCTTCTTCTTCCCATTTCTTTCAGTCCTTCTATATTTTACCTTCGACTACATCATGAAGGAAGTATTCTTTTCCGTGCTCAGTAGAGTCTTTTCTTGGCCCAATTTTTAAGCCTTCTCAGGACTTCTTCAGTTGTTATCCTATCTGTTCACTTTATAGTCTAAGAGCCAGTGAACTATTTGACTAACCTGTTTTCACAGAGCCAGAAATTTTTTTAATGATATTTTATTATCGGCCCATTACGAAAGTACCATTCTGGCAGTCATTCCGCGATTGCGTCATCATCCCTTCAATTTGTGAAAATGTAAAAAAAAAAAAATTTATAACTAGCTCGCACAAGGCTCAAATTTTGAGGGTGTCTTCTTTCAACTGTTCAGAAAGCATATGTAAAAAGCCAGCCCATTCTAACGGCTGCAAGGGTCTGCCAGACGAGTACATAATAGTCACGACGCGCAAGGGCGTGGGCGCATTGCCATACATAATCGACTAATACCCTTGTATTTGAATAATTTATACGCCATTTTGAAGGTCATTTTGAAAACATCCGATATACCAAACTTTAACTTTGTATCTCACCTTATGGCCGAGATATCATTGAAAATATGCCAAAGTGGCCCCTTTTTCAAACTCAATTTTTGGCGTAACCATAAAAGATATCGAAAAAAAAAATTACGTGATTCTACTCATATTGGCTTAAACCACATAATGTATAGTAATATATGCTAAATAATCTTTTATTATTAGCTAAAAAGAATAAAATAATTTTTCAATTAATGTTTTCGGATAGTGCGTTTTGTTTAATTACTTTATTATTAGCGTTATTTAAAAGCTTATTGTTTTCTCTTTTAGTACTGCCAATATTGTTTAAATCAAATTTGTGGAACACATTGAAAAATTGAAGAAACCAGAACCAGTACACCCGCGCGTAACGCTTATAGTAGCCAGCATAGAATTCGTTCGGTCGGATGTGCGATGCGTTACGCGCGAGTGTACTGGTTCTGGTCTCTTCAATTTTTCAATGTGTTCCACAAATTTGAGCCTTGTGCGAGCAAGTTATAAATAATTTTTTTTTTACATTTTCACGAATTGAAGGGATGATGACGCAACCGCGGAATGACTGCCAGAATGGTACTTTCGTAATGGGCCGATAATAAAATATCATTAAAAAAATTTCTGGCTCTGTGAAAACAGGTTAGTCAAATAGTTCACTGGCTCTTCTACTATTACTTTCTCCATTCGTCTACAGCACCACAACTTAAACTCTCCATTTAGTTCTTGTCGGCCTTTCTTAGAGTCCATGTTTCTGATCCGTGCAGAGACATGTTCCAGCCATAGCACTTTATTAGTCTTTTGCAAAAGTCGAGACTCAGTTTGCTCGTCAGTAACGGTTTTCTTCTTCGTGAATAGTGGGCGATCCTTGCCTTGCAGTATCCTTAGCGCTTGCGATCCTTGCCCCGATATCTCTCTCGCGCAGTATCCGTTTCTGGTTAGAATGCTTACCAAGTTGAAGTGATTCACATTTTCCAATTCTCGATTTCCTACCGTTATTCTCAGGGACTCATCTCGTTTCGTGATTCACATCACTTTCGACTTGTCGATGTTGATTTCCATTCGTCTAGCAAGGATTTTGGCCAGAACCTTTCCTATGTACGAAGTCAAACTGATCGTCTTGTGGATGCTGCACTTGTTTGCTTTGGGCTATTTTCAAGGAGCTATCATCGTGACATCCAAGAAGTCCTTTGGCCATTCGCCCGTTCGATATATTTGATTCAGCAGTTCGGTCGGTTCCTTCAATCCGTTGTATATATATATATATATATATATATATATATATATATATACATATATATTATCATTATATTATGTAATATACATGGTCTGTTCAAAAAGTTTTCGGAATTTTCGTTTTTTCAAAAAAATATTTATTTATTCGTCTATATTAATGTGGTCCCCTTCAAAGTAGTCCCCCCCAGATATAATACACTTATGCCAGCGTTTTTTCCAATTTTCGAAGCACCCTTGATATTCACTTTTTGATATGTCCTTGAGCACTCTCAGCGATTTTCTTCAATCGAGGAAAACCGCCGTCCTTTCATGGGTCTCTTCAACTTTGGGAATAGGAAAAAGTCACACGGAGCCATATCTGGTGAATTTTTGCACTTTGCAACACTTTATTTCATTTTTTACGCAAAATTTAATACAAATTCTTTGACTTTTCAATTCTTCCATTGTAAAAATCGCCGAGCTCAGAAAAACACGTCGAACCTTAGCGACTACCACAGACAAAGTAAACAGTGAATATAGCTGAAAATTTCATCATACTTTAGGGGCATGTATACCAACACAATAAAAAAAAAATTTTGACAATCAGACACTCCAGACCCGCGAAATTTAATTATTGGTAATTCCGGGTACTTTTTGAACAGACCTCGTATATATATATATATATATATATATATATATATATATATTAGGGTGGTCCTTAAAATGGTCATTTTCGAATTTCCTTGCTCCCAGGGGCTCAAATGGTTCCAAATAGATAAAAAACAATTCTCTGAAAGTTTTAGCTCTTAATATTAACGTTTAGATAGAGCGCAAATCAATCAAAGTTTTGTATGGAAATAGCATGGAAAAATTTTCAAAAATTATCAAAAATGTTAAAAATGTTTTTTAGATGTAATTTAGCGAACAAATGAATGAATAAAACTCATTCATTTGTCACTAAGTTATATCTAAAACATTTTTTTAAATTTTCAAAATGTTTTCCATGCTCTTTCCATACAAACTTTGATTGAATTGCGCTCTATCTAAACGTTAATATTAAGAGCTAAGACTTTCAGAGAATTGTTTTTTATCTATTTGGAACCAGTTGAGCCCCTGGGAGCAAGGAAATTCAAAAATGACCATTTTAAGGACCACCCTAATATATATATATATATATATATATATATATTTGATCCGGACGAAAGTTCGTTATTCGAAAAAACCTCGTTTTTCCATAGAAATACATGAAAACGAAATTAATTCGTTATGTAGTTTGAAATATAAAAATAATACATATTTTACATATAATTACATATAATTATGACATTAAGGCATTCAAAAAAATATTACTAATTTACAAAATAACCATCAGCAAGAAGGTACTACTTCCTTTTTTGCCCTTTTAGCTCTTGAATTTTTAAAGAAAACTGTCCATAGTTGTTTCTTTTCTTCAATGATAGGCATGCTAATCATTGTACAAATTCCTGATCTTTTTTTTTTTTTTTATTGGCCTCGCTTACTCGAGCATTTAGCCACGTACATTATTCTATATAATCATATATCCTATACAATCTTCAATTTTATACTATCTTTTTCATACAATCCTATTCTTTTTTCTATACTTCTTAACTTATCTTTATTCTTCTTTTACTATCTTCTCATTTCATCTTCTAACCACATATTTCTTCTTCTTTTATACTTCTCATTTCTTCTTCTAAATTCTTCTTACTTCAATTCATTTTTAATTTTAATTCTCTAATTTTTATACATATTGATTTTCCATACATATCTTTTTATTATAATTCATAATTCTATTATTATTCCAGCTTAATCCAACGAGTTAATATTTTTTCAAATTCTTGCCGGAGATTCGAACTCGGAACCTCCAGCATGTGAATCGGGAACGCTACTCTTGAGCTAATCCCGCCACTTCCTGATCTTCTTACTCATGTTTGAAAAATAAACATTTACGAATTCTTGCACTTCCTCTCCTTTGACCAAAAAATCCTTTATGGACTTGACGTTCTAGAAATCTGCTGACTGGTGTTTTCTTCCTCGGTACTTGATCATCCACTTCCAAAATTTTGACAGGGCCTTTGAGCTATGAATGTGAATTTTCTCAAAAAATATATATTCACAGCAAAGGCCAACATTTCCAAGGTCCACTCTTTGAATTAATTTGAGAATTTGATGACAACGGTTGAGTTGTGTGAAACGTATGCGCCCGAAAAAAAAGTTCGGTATGCGCAGCGTCCAATGTGAGATGCGTACTTTATACGGGGGTACGACTGTATATATATATATATATATATATATATATATATATATTAGCTGACCCGACAAACGTTGTTTTGCCATAAAAAATATTTCTAGTGTAACAGGTTTAGTATTGAAGTAACTGATTGCAAATGTGGTATATAAGTGAAATGAGCAGCTAACAAAAAATATATGAATAATTTACCCACTGCAAAGCATGCTGCATGTAAATGTTCCTGTGTAATATAGTCTTTGCAAGTGCCAACCTAATCTGAACCTAATTTTATTATATCGTTTTTCAACATTTAGGGTTTCTAGATTTTGATATATTATTACCGCACTTCTCATCATTATTTTTTAAATTTCGAAGCAAAATCCGTCATTCATTTTTAAATCATATTTTCATGTGACATTTCCAGCAAATTGAATGAGATTTTAAAAAATGAGAAAGTGGGAAATTTTACAGCTTTGCCATAAATTTGTATGGTACCTAGTTCTACTTTTACTTTTGTTCTTTTACCAATATTACACATATAGAAAGGTACATAGAAGTCTTCCGGTTGTAGGACAAAAAAAGTATTTCTAGTTATTATAATAGAAGAGACCCTTTCACTTGAAAGGGTATGGGCGCATTGCCATATAGAATCGGCCCCACCCTGGTATTTAAATAATTTATACGCCATTTTATAGGTCTAAATGATACAAACCGATATACCAATTTTCAACTTTGTATCTCATCTTATGGCCGAGATATCATTGAAAATATGTGAAAGTGGCCCCTTTTTTCAAACTCACTTTTTGACGTAACCATAAAAGATATCGAAAAAAAATTTACGTGGTTCTATTCATATTGGCTTAGGCCACATAATGTAGAACAATCGATGCCAAATAATTAATTATTATTAGCTGAAAAAGATAAAAATAATTTTTCAATTGATGTTTTCCGGTAGTGCGTTTAGTTGGACCACCTTCTAATTAGCGTTATTCGAAAGATTATTGCTTTATCTTTTAGTACTGAAAAATATTGTTCAAATCAATTTGGTGGAACACATTGGAAAATTGAAAAAAACGGAGCCAGTACACCCGCGCGTAACCCTAATAGTACCCTGCAATTGCATAGAGTTCGTTCGAACGCATAGCAGTGCGCGAAGCGCCCGAAACGATTCTTAAGAAATTCTGAATGTGACAATATTATTATATAGTTATATGTATTCATATGAAATAATAATATAATGAAACATTGTAATTTCAACAAACCCAAGAAACCTTTCTTTTTTTAATGATAATTGTAATATTGCGATTATAAAGCCCTTATTGTGGCCTATCTTTATCAGTACTACCAATACTACAATACAAAAAGAAATATGACAAATGGTAATCTGAAATTCTTTGCTTTTGGTTATTTAAAATTCTTCAAAAATTATTTGCCATTTGATGTGGAAACTTTCTATATAGTACTTCAGGAATTTACAAAAATTATTACTGAAAGTATTCTAATAATCATTATTATTATTATTATTTCAAAGAGTGTAGGAATATAATTAGAATTGATGTCCAATCGCGGCATATAAATAGGAAAAAATATAATGTTTATATTGAATATACTCCGCTACTAACTATCGAAGTATTTTTATAATTATTATTATTATTATTATTATTTCAAAGAGTGTAGGAATATAATTAGAATTGATGTCCAATCACGGCATATAAATAGGAAAAAATATAATGTTTATATTGAATATACTCCGCTTGGCACCAACTATCGAAGTATTTTAAGGTATTGCTGTAGTTGTCCCAATGGATTGAGGACTGTTGGTTGCTGTTCACATATTGCAGCTATCATATATTATATGTCATTTGCGAGGTATTTATCACGTATTATACGTCCATCAGAAATACTATCGAATATTTTTATAATAGAGGAAACTTCGGTTGCTATTAACCATGACAGTGATGACGATTATAATAACAAAATATAATTTTAATTGATTTATTAATTATTTATTTAGCATACCGAAGTATTTGTGTAAATCATATGATACACTTGTAAATTTTAAAAGAACACCAATAAATTTTTAACTTCCGTAGGGTAAGTTATTGTAATGGGCCGAAAATCGGAATTGAAAATTTTTACATTTCTCGACGTTTTGAAGTTTCTGAACGTTTTGGCATACCTCAGAAAAAATGGATGTGTGTGTGTATGTGTGTGTGTATGTATGTATGTATGGATACAATTTCCAGTCACGTTTTCGGGCGCACGGATCAACCGATTTGAATGG